AAATCTAAAACTATCTCGAAACAGGGATTCTAGCTAAACCGTTGTATTTAAAGTTCTATTTGCGCAGGAAAGTTAATTCTATCTCAACAGGTGGAGGTAGTAGATGAGCAAATGTGGACAGGAAGTTCAAGAGGGTGGGGGGACGGCGTGTGACGTACATACATACATACACACATATATAGTACCCCCAATGATCCTGCGCCTCCTCATAAAATACTGGAAAATACAGTATTTTTGAGCGTTACACCTGCCTTTGTTTACCTCCTGGAAAGGGGTCAACATGAGCATAGCTGACATGAAGCTCACCAAAAGCACTTGAAAGTTTGTCTAACCAATAACTTGAAAGTGTGTCCACTGGATCGCTAAGCACTTGAAAATATGCTACTATCGGATGGAAGATTCAAGATTGAAGATTACACAGAACACTTTCCTGAGAATTGTCAATCCTGGCCAAACCCAAATAACATTCAAGTTCTTCTAACACTTGAAAGTGCTTTACCACTGGATTGGGGATTCAATATTGAGGAGCCCACAAACCACCACTTTCCTGAGAATCATCCATCCTGGTCAACCCCTAAAATGTTCAAGTTGTTCTATCACCTCGAACATATTTTATCACTGGATTGAAATATTTCACGGAAAACGTTTCCGAGAATCTTATTGAACACCGAGAGTATTGGGACAACCCTGGATTTTTTTAAAACTTTTTTAAAAATTATGGGATTCAAGATTCAAGATTCAAGATTCCCAGAAAATATGTTCTCACATTCTTGAATCTTGAATCTTGAATCCCAGAATTCTTTAAATTTAAAAAAAATGTCTGAGTTGTTCTTGTATTCTTGGATGCATTCAAACTCTTTCAGATTGCAGATGCTGATGTCATTGCTTTCATCACATCTGTATACATGCATGCGTATCATATACATGTATGACCCCCCCCCCCCCAATTTTGACACAAATCCAAGAAGCAAAAAGAAGCATAAAACACTGGAAAATACAGGTCAAACGCACCAAACCAGGGTCCATGGGGGGGGGGTACCATATATATATATATATATATATATTATTATACATTTATGTTTATATAGGTCATGGCTCCCTGAATGGGAATCAGTACAATTGTTGGTAAGAATTCTTACCAGGTGGATGACCATCCCTGCCAACACAAGTAAGGGTGTCGTTGGTCCATGGCACATGTCATGTTGACTGACTTCTCCTACTCTTGGCTTCAATTTGACTTGGGGCAATTTTGTGGATATCAGTTCGGTGGGGATTCATGCCCACCAACCACTGTTGTGGTGCATTCCAGTAAAATTATTTGCCACACTGCGAATCTTCTGCCAATCTGTTTGCTGAGCGGCATGTGCCAATGGGCCGTTCCAGGCAATGTCGATAAAGCCACCTGCAAGGACCATATTCATTCCCGAGAAAGAGAGTGATGAGTCTCCGAACTGCAGATAGCCCTCTCGCATAGATGTAAAAAACAAACTGAGATCCTGCCTATTCATTTACGCCTCCAATTTGCAAGCGGCTTCACCTCATGCACTTCCAATCAGCCGGTCTATCGCCAAGAGGCCCAGCAAAGCCTCCACCTGGCGGTCATAGCCTCGCATGGGTTTGTCTTAGAGACCGGGTCCCAATGATGGTTTCGCTGTGTTCCTTTGAAATGAGCCCACAAAGGGTAGCCCCAAAAAAACACTGATAAGTGATATCTGAGGAGAGGTGCAAATCTGAAATAACGAGTACAAAAATGTGCTGACGGTCGCATCATGTGCCAAACTCACAGAGCATGCTGCTAAGAATGCCTTCCCTGCCTATCAACGAGGATCTCTGCAAGCAGTATCAGCATGCAAAGCTTGCTTTCAGCAGCCAGTCGCTGCAATGGAAGTCCGGAAACGGGTGCAATGTCTCAGCCTCAAGCTAAGATCTCGACGTTCCCATCCACATTTTTGCCCAGCCGCTGGTGAAAAGCACGAAGTCCAAGTCGATACCGGCCTGCGCGCAACGCGAAACAAGCACAACTTCACGCAGGTTTTCTTAGAAGCTCGCTTCAATCCACAGGTTTGACTTGAGGTTTGACGTTTGAGCTTCATTCACCAAGGGTAGGTCCAGGTGGGTCTGAGGTTGGGTTGCCAGTCGGCCCAATTCCGCGCTGGGCTGGGAGCGATTTTGGTTGGTGGCTTCCCTTTGGGTCGCTGTGGTTTTCGCTTCGGCCTGCTGCCGGGTAGGCTTCGGTCAGAACAGGCTTTGGCTATGCTTGGAGCTGAGTCAGACTTGATTCCGCCTGTTGTGAGTTTCGGTTTGCGGTTGTCTTGGGGTTGGATTTCAGCTTGAATGGTGCATTGAGGCTCGGTTCGGTTGATGTGGGTGCTTTTTTTGGGAGTGGGGTGGGATTCAGGGGTTTGGGAAGGGCTGGAAGTTGGTTTTGTTGGTGGCCGTGTGTCTCTCGTCTGGTGCAGCCTTCACCTGGGGTTGGGTAGCTTGGGGTTGATTCAGGTTCAGCTTGGGGTTGGTTTAGGAGTTTACAGGGTTGCAACCACCGGCAAAACTCAAAATACAAAAGCGGCTGAGCCAATGGCAACACGAGGCGACAACAAAATCGCCAAACACGTAAAGCACATCCCCAAACTAGCCCTGATCAACAAATGTCAACAGTCTTCGTTGAAAGAAGACTCCTTGGCGTTGGACAGTTCTACCAGCATGGATTTCAAACAGCCGCCCTTTGCTTGCAGTTGTCTCCTTGCACGATCTCCCAGCAAAAGCACATGCACCAGCACACATCAGCACAATAGCCCGGATTCATGCTCCAATTGCACCCTTCTTCAACGTCAAAACTCTCTGGACAAATTCTGTCATCCTTGGCACATTGTAGGATGCTAAGCAGCGAAGGAAGCGCACCTTCACAGTCAAACCTCACCAGCGACTCGCCGGTGCCTTCCTGTAGAAGGAAGCCACGCCAGCCCAAATGCTCCTAATCTGGTCGGTGTAGTCAATGCACCCCACCTCTGATGCTGTTCGGATCAAATTGTTTCCACTCACACGCACACAAAGGTAGCCCAAAAAAGAGCATGGAATGAAACCGTGGCTGTCCTTTGGGCTTGAGTCAAGCAGAAAGGAGCATGGCAAACCTAACTCTGATCCCAGTCCAGCTGTCAGCTTTGTCGGTCTTTTGAGCCTCAACAGATTTTTTTCTTCCAACCAGACGTCGGAAATTTCAGACATCCAGGCGTCAGTGTACCGAAAACACGCCGGACCGTCCCTCCAGAGGGCCATCCGTCGCTCCACCGATCCTCCGAGCTCCCGGCAAGGATGGTCTTGGACGATGGTCCGATGTCAGCCTGGCACCGAGATTGTCGATCTTCCTTCTGATCTACACAAGGGAAACCAATGCAACACACACACACAAGCAAGCAAGCAAGCAAACAAGCAAAAAGGCAAAAAACAGCAAACAAGCAAACAAGCAAACAACAGCAAACAAGCAAACAAGCAGCAAACAAGCAAACAAGCAAACAAGCAAACAAGCAAACAAGCAAGCAAACAAGCAAGCAAGCAAGCAAGCAAGCAAGCAAGCAAACGCTAACAAACAAACAAACAAACAAACAAACAAACAAACAAACAAACAACCAAACAACCAAAGAACCAAACCAACTAGCGAACTAACTAACCAACTGTAACTCACTAAGTAACACAAAACCAATAAGCTTATCTATTGCAAGGGCAATCTGGCTAAAGTGCCTTCGTCTGGGCAAGCCCCATGGCTTCGGCTGGCTGGCAATCCGAGCCAGAAACTGCGGCTAGAGACCCGTGACGCCTTCCCGTTTGGGGCGCTTCATCTGCTTCGCGCAAATGGGTGTAGCACCTGTGAGAGGGTACCTGGAAGATCAATTCCTCTTCAAGGCACCCTCTGTGAGTCAGGTGCCGTGTTAGTGGGAGGGAGGGCACCCTTGTCGTTTGGGAAAGGACAATAAAATAGGAAAACCGTTTGGCCATTTTGGTGGGGTCCAAGCTTTACCCTTGAAACAATTGGGTTGACCCAAGTTGGACGAGAATCTGTTGGAAAACAATGGTGGTTATATGAAGCCCTTTAGCAAGGCCGGAAAAAAACGCACACCATATCTTCAAAGGCAAACCACACGTTCGAGAGCCTGAGCTGTCACAGCCACATGCTACAAGTAGCGGGCCCTTTAAGCTTATGCCTAGCGGCGCTTGATCTGCTTGCTTTGTAGGGTTCAATTAAAAAGCATGGTTGACTCAATCTGGATGATGATATATTTTATGAGAACAATGGCGGTTCTACGCACCACCATTGCTTTAATGGTTTTAATCCCAGCTTACTGCTTATGCCTTTGCTCTCTTGCGTTTCGATCCAAAAAAGCCAGCAGATCGCACCACTAGATAGAGCTCTTTGTGCTTCCTCCATGATCTGAGACATGAAGCCAGGCTTCGATTGAGCGTGACGATGCTTGAGCGCTCTCTCGAAGTTATGGTCTTCTTCAATTGCTCAGCTTCATGCCAACAATCAAGCACCAAAGGTATCTCTGCCGTCAGTCAAACGACCAGGTGTTTAACCGGCGTATGGTTCAAGAACGACCGGCAAAAACTTATGTCACATCAGCAAATCGCAGCGAATTGCATAGCTGAAAATACATATTGCTCCACCTTCATTCCAAGAACTCGGTAATACCTGGAAGGATGCGTGCCTAGATCAGGTTCAGCACACATTTCGCAGTACAAGCGTTGGGTAAGGCACAAATATGAAGCCACCACAATTTCCGCGAACCAAAACACGCACGAAGTATTACACCCAGCAGAAACTGCAATTGTACGAAAGCTTCCCCTCACAAAACCTTAGTTGCTGTTCAAAAGCTTTCAATTTTGTGGGTTTACCGGAACAAGCCGTCGATTTCCGCCAAAAAGTCCAGGTCCAAAGCTGCAAAAACCAAGAGCACTCAAGGGGACCTGCCACAGAAAACGCCATCGAACTTCCCGAGGCCCCGCGCATCCGCCAAGGTGAACTTGGGCTTCTCGGCGAAGAGGCTGTTCAGCTCGGTGGCCCACTCCTCCACCTCATTGGGGTGGCTTTTTCCACCCAAACCAAAATATCATGAACATGCACTTTCCATCCTTTCCGTGCCTTTCCAGGCCCTCCAAAATGGGGCCATGGGTCAAAACCCAAATCGTACCCCCGGTGAACATCCCAATCCAACCACTAAAATAGACTAGAATGGGTGGTGCACCTACGCCAACGAAAATGCAATTTCCATTATTTCCTCGTACCATTGGTGTTGACCCACGACCAAATAACGAAAATGCAATTTCCATTATTTCCTCGCGTGCCCCCTGCTCCTTGTTGCTTTTTCCACCCAAACCGTGCCCAGATGTTTTTCAACTCGGCGAACATGGCTTGCTCTTTCTCACTTGCACTTTCACTTTCCGCGACGAAGTCGACTTCGTCTGCCGGAATTCTTGGAGCAAGCCTTCGGCCTGGCCAATTTCTATGGCTGTAGTATTCACACTCCCTGGTTCAGAGATGTTGGGGCCAAAGGTGTGCTTCCATTTGCTTAAGTTAAGCCCCCTGGAAAAATGAAAAAATACTTCCGGTAGAGATAGATTCTCTTAAAACCAACAGGGGAAAACAAAACATATTCTTAAGCAAATGGAAGTATGGGTTCATTTTCCCCACTCAGACCAGAATCCGCAGGCGCCTCCTCGTCCGCATCCTGGGCTTCCAGGAAGAAGGAGCTCTCCACACGCATCAGCAGCACTGTGGCCTTCCATTCCCGCGCGAGCGCCCCGCTGAACAATCATCCATGGTTGTAGTTGCATCGAGACGGGCAGTTGATTTGTGTCGCTTCGTATGAGCCATTTTGGGGTGTGTTAGCTAGTCTTGCAGTTGTACCCGTGCTTGGCCTATGGTTGGGCAAGGGGGTATGAAGATAACTGAGGTCTACTGGATCTACTACACTATACGCAAAGGCGGCCAAGTCAAAGCCACATTTCAACGATTGGCCAAGACACATGGTTCTGGGTCAAAACCGTTTTGGGATCCCATTTTTGGGTAGGTGAATTCACCACCTATTTTGGAACCTATTCTCGTGGTTGGATTGGGATGTTCACTGGGGGTACGATTTGGTTTCTGACCCATGGCCGATGACATCCCGCGAGGTGCTAAGCGCCAGTCAGTTCAACTTCCCTGTCTCTCAGACCCAATGATACCGAGAGATTTTGTTTTTGCCGCTCCAAGCTGGAGCTACCTGGATCGCCCAGTTGGTGCTTTGTTTTCAGACACTTTGCCCAACAAAACAGTCACAGTTGCTGGGAAAAAGCTGCAACTGGCGATCCAGGTAGGCTTACTGAATGGAAACAGACTTAAAACGGAGATGGCTCGGTTCCCCAAAAAGATACAGAAACCCCAGGTCCAGTAGTTGTTTTTTACCCCGATAGCTTTGATGATGGGGAATTTCTCCTGTTTCAACCGGGCCCCAACCTGTGTCTTGGGCCCATAAGAGGAAACATGGGGGGTGGAAAGAACCGGTTTGAGGCTTGTTAAATAGCAAACCATGGAGGTGAACAAATCGGTTTAGGACCTGGTTTGTTCACGAACGGGTCGGTCGGGTTTCAGCCGCGGGGCGAATGAGTCCACCTGCAGAACGAGCGCCTCCTCTGCACTGAGGAGCTCTACCTGAAAAGTAAACTCGCTCGAGTGTGCTATTGGGGTCTGTCTATTTTTGGAATGTACCTGGATTGTGAGTTGCAGCTTTTTCCCAGCAACTGTGACTGTTGCTTGGGCAAGGTGTCTGGAAAAACACAAAAGGAAACCACCATGTGGGGGGGGGGTCCGCTAAAATCTCCCTTGGCTGTTTGCCTGGCTCTCAGTTTGCCACTCTTCAAAACAAAGTCTGCCTGGATCGCCCAAGTTGCTGCTTCTTCCCAGCCACTTTGCCCAACAAAACAGTCACGGCTGCTGGGAGAAAAAGCCGCTGGCGATCCATGTGCTTTCCAATTCACTCTAGCAAAGACTTGAGGCGCAGTCCCTCTCCAAACCATAGGCGTCCTTCTTGGCAAATAGAAATTCCCTGGTAGATGATTGAACCACGGAAACCAGGAATCGCCCTCTATTTTTCCACCACAACCACCAAAAAGGACACCTATGGGCGCAACGGTGGTCCTTTTGCTTTCCCTTTAAAGCACACCCAACATGGGGATACCGCCAAAGAGGGGAGATATGTTTCAAGCAAAACGACAAGAAGGACACGGAATCGGTCCCAAGCCTCTTTAAAGCATCGGCCCTGATGGCCCTTGTGGCATGCCAAGTTGCCGCGGTACTCGGGTGGCTCTTCTTCCACTCCAGGAAGTCCTTCTGCAGTCCCTGCACGCGAACCAATGGGATCCCACTTTGGGGTAGGTGAATTCACCACCCATTTTAGAACCTGTTTTAGTGGGGAGTGGGATGTTCACTGGGGGTACGATTTGGTTTTGACCCATCCCAACAAAACCCAGCCTGTTCGAAATCTCGGGGGCCCAAACCCACAATCCGTAATCCGCTGAATCCGCATTTTTCAACGAGTAAACCCCCGAATCCGTAATCCGCGCGGCTTCTTGCCATTCCAACCCCCAGGCAGGGCTATTCAAAATCCATGCAACCGAACCCTCTTCTGCTCAAAAGCAATATGCCACTTGCGATCGCTGCGAGAGATGCAGGGAATGAGAGAAATGGAGTCTGACCTCCAAACAAACATATCCCACTGGTGGTGTCCTTTATTAAGGAACCCCCGAAACCGGTTCATTCCCAACACCCGGAACGGTCATTGAACTACCTATCGCACCAGCAAAATGACGCCACCACATGGCTGTGGCTCAACAATAGGCCAACCCCGAAATGGCTTGTCCTGGTAAAATTGGTAAATGGAGACATGGACCCCATACATCGGTGCTTTAAATGGAGACATGTCCAATTCCTGGTGCTTTAATTTTGACACCATGCATCGCGATTTCGGCGCCACGTGGCAGCACCGACAGACGTGCCTCCATGGCGTCGGACATGTTGCCGCGAGCGAGAGGAGAAATCAAAGGCCACGCACACATCCGATGAGTTGCATTGTGGATTCTCGAGGAGTTGCATGACATGTCCGAAAAATGCCCGTGGTTTATCTCGAAAAACACCGTAAAATCCGGGGGGGGCAACCCAAACCCTTCCTTTTTTTTTGGGGGTGAGTTGTCTGTGTTTTAGACGCATGTCCCAGGTCAGCGGCTGCGCACGCTGAGCTCATTGCTTGACGGGTCCTACCTGCCGACGAGCCAAAAAAATGATCGACTCATTGCATTCTTCTAGGGCTACCCTCCATTTCCATTCTTAACCCAGGGAGCCGAATTTCTTTTCAGGAAACCATCAACCTGGGGAAACGGATCCGATTCTTGAAAAGAACGATGCTTGAAAAGAATGGAAAAGGCATCAACCCCTAGAATCATTGAATCTTCGAACTCTGAAATTATGAGCTTCATTACGCAAATCCCAGGCATGTTTCTTTCGGCCAACTCTCTCCCTTGAGAAGCAGCAGAATGACGCCTGCCTGGCCGATTTTTGCCTGCGCTTCCCCCACAGGATCCCCTGGGGTGTCTCTCACCCCAAAGCCAAACTCGTGGCTTCCCCAAGAAAAAAACTCGGCCCTTCGGACCCACGCGGCCCGCGGCCCGCGACCCGCGACTCGCGACCGCGAGCCGTGGTCAAACATTCCACGGCTGCTTTGCAAACCAGAATAACTAACGCCCCGCATGTTGTGGAGAAACCCATGTAGCACGTCACGGCTGTGCTTCACTTGCTTCAAAAAAAAACATCGTTGGCTGTCACTCCGCAGTGGCCGATTCACTCAGCTGGCTCGCCCGGACCTCGAGCACTGGAGCGCTGCAAGGGGCCACTGGCCTTTGTTTTGGAAAGCTGTTTTTTGGATTCTTTTGAGGAGAGGGACACTCATTCGGGCCTTCTTTTTTTTTCTCGGGGGGGGGGGCACTCGTTGTTGGCTGGGTTTTTAAGGCAAACCCAAAGGAAAACCACCGTTGGAGGGGTGGCCCCTAAAAAGCGAGAGACCCATTGTGTGGATACTGCAGATACCCAGGAAAAGGAGCTATATGAACGCCTGCCCAAACCTATATGAACCCAAAGGGCGGATAGCCGCACAAAATTGCTTGGTGACTGTCCTCCAAGCTTCATCTACGAGTACCCTGGCTTTCGTGGCTTATGCGAGTCCCGAACCTATATGCAGTTGGGAAGTGGAACCAAGGGGCCTTTACTTGCACCCCCCTCAATTCAAAACAAAGAGGAGAAGAGGTACGTCGCATCGCTCTCCCCTTCCGCAGCAACCTTCCAGAAACCGGAGCTGTCACGTTTTAGGTTCCTTCGCCTTCTTATCCTCCCCCAAAAAAACCGGGCGTTGCCCCCCCCCCAAAAAAAAAAAAAACGGGGGGAAGCCACCCTGCCGCCCTCTCGATCGCTTCCGCGTCTCCGTCTCGCTTCCGCTCCCGCCCCTCCTCGCGCTTCCGCGCATCGCTCGCGCATCGGTTGCTCGCCTCCTCCACGGAGGTGCGCCACATGCCCTGCAGCAGCTTCGGCAGCTGCGGGCCCAGGCTCTGCACCAGTGCTTGGCGCCGCCTCGCCTCCAGCCGAGCCGAGCCGAGCCGAGCCGAGCCAAGGCTAGTTGTGTTAGGGGGCGTTTTGGAGGTGTGTCCAGCACCTTAGGTCCATGTGGAGGTGTCTCAAAACAGGGGGGGCTTTTTTGAGATGGCTTTGAAAGGGAGCCAAGAGGAAACCATCTACCTGTCCACCCCGGAGGTGGTTCCATTTATTCTCTTTTGGAGTTGGAAATCTTATCACGGTTGAAAAAGGGATGCAGTCTGGGAGATCTGGACAAAATCCACAGCACAGGTAGCCGTGGCACGTCGCAAACTCAGGAGTTGGTACCTGCTTTTTGGTTGGTAATGGCAAAGCAAAAGAGGAAAAACGAAGCCAATCCCGTCAGCTCCTCTTCCGGCGTGTCATAGCACCAGGCCGGCTGAAGGCAGCTCGCGCACTCGCGCAGCGCCTCTGCGCAGGGGCAAAAAAAGAAAACAAAAAGCACGAGTCTGACATCAATCTGTGGAGGCTCTCCCACCGACTAACATGGAAGTGTGCAGAAGGTAGAAAGACGATCTTCCGCTTGGACCGGGGCTTGGTGCACTTCCAAATCTTGAAGTTGGTGGGAGGCTTCCCCTTGTTTGGGCTTGTTTTACACTCAGACCAGGGAAGCTTTCAGAAGGCCTCGGGAAATGAACCGAGTCTTCCAGGGGGGTTTGGGGAGCTTCCAGGTCACCATGGTTTGGGGAATCCCCCACCCCCCCTTTGAGGTCAATTTGCAAGAGTTGCAGGTTGGAGCAGCCAGAATCACTGTGTTGATTTAAGGAAAATCCCAAGGGACCTTCATCATGGAATGACTCCTTTGTTCTATCCACGTTCGGTGAGCTTGCGTTAACGAGTGCAGAACGCGCGCAGAATCCTTGAAACTGTACCGGTGACGAGGCTTATCAGCGGGCAATCGTCGTGGTTGAAGCGTGCAAGCACGCTGTACCGGCAAAATAGCCGCGCACAGGAAGTCTTCCAAGTTGAACATCAGGCAATGAGATTCCAATGCCAATGTACATACACAGTAAAGAGTCACTGAATGCCCCGCCTCCATCACAGCGGACATGGCCTGCGCACTTCCATCCACGGCATCCTTAAGCAGAACAATGTGCACTTGTCAGAATCCTGAAGTCAGGCACCACGAGTCTGCTCTCAGCCCTTTGGAGCCAGGGGCGTTCTTTCTGCCTCAATTTCTGTTGTCTCGATCGAACCAAGAGAAGACTCCAGGCATCCTTTTGATGAATTCCCACAAAATGGCCGTGCGGCGCTGGAATTCCTCCGCACGATGGACAGGCTCTTGCGCAGGTCAGCCATGTCCTAGGCGCTCAGCAAGCTACCTGTCTGCTAGTCGTGTCCAACACATCAAGTGGTTGATCTGCAACGAAGTCATTGGCCTCTCGTTAGGGAGGAAAGCAAAATACCTGGCTATTAGAACATGGACAAACTGACAACTAGCTATATGGTTCACTGACGATACCCACCAGCGAACCTATACTGAAAGAGCTACTGCAAGCTCCTGTCGTTTATGAATTGCAGCTGCGGTCTAGCCAGCGCTACAATTCAAGCAGTCATGGCCCCAAGGAATATCGCACTTTCCAGCAAGAGATGTTTGACTCTAGAGTACCTATCTGGCTAAAAGATGCCCTGTGCTGAGCGTTCATGCATGCCAGTCCCAGTCTGCGGCACTTGAGTGAGGACCCTTTGCTAGGATCTGTCCACCACCTCTGTTCCAACCATTGAAAATCGGAGCCGTTTGGAGAGTGTCAACTCATTAAGAAGAAATGTAACAAATCGGATCAAACACCACGTCAACCATGCTTTTCTTGGGAACCATCCAAAAGAAATCAGATCAATTGGCTTGTTGCAAACCCCCTAGGTCCTCTAGTAGAGTTGATAGACTGAGGGTACCCTATTTTTTTCTGTACTCTATTCTTAGTGGAACCCTCCCCCAAAAAAGAAACGGTAAAAGTTGGCGCCTAGCTCGGGGGCCTGGTCCCATGTATCAAGACCCCACGCCAGTTGGATCGTCGAGCCAAAGCCAGGGCGCCATTCTTGGGAGGAGCTTCTCTGCGCTCTCCAGCCACTGCTCCTCCTACGCATCACACTCACCACAAGCAAAACAACACCAAGCAAGTCTTTTGAAATCAAAGAAACACACAAACACACAGGCAAACAAACAAACCAACAAACAAACAAGCAAGCAAGCAAGCAAGCAAGCAAGCAAACAAACAAACAAACAAACAAACACACAAACACACAGGCAAACAAACAAACACACAAACAAACACACAAACACTGACAAACAAGCAAGCAAGCAAGCAAGCAAGCAAGCAAGCAAGCAAGCAAGCAAGCAAGCAAGCAAGCAAGCAAGCAATTCATCAACCAATCAAACGAACAAACGAGCCAGTAAGCGAGCGAGCGAGCAAGCAAATAAGCAAGCAAACAAGCAAGCAAATAAAGCGATCAAACGAACAAACAAGCAAGCGACTGAATCCTTACACAACTGAGGTTGTCTTGCAAGCCAAGCATTTCCACGTTGCATCGCAACATGCAAGCTCTCATCTGCCAACATGGCTGATTTCGACAGGATGGAAAATAACAAACTTCAGCTCTGGCTGGAGACTGCATCAACGGCTCTTGAGGTAAACTAGCATGTTGACGCTGCGATCCTCGTAGCCGCTTTGATTACCAACTTGGAAGTTCTGGCCCGGATAAGAATCGGCTGTGTGTCATAGCAACCCGAGATGGTGGGCTTTCCCTTAAGCAACACGAAAGGGGCAAGCCCGTCGAAAAAGGAGAGTGAAGCAAGTGGATCAAAGACTCTCCGCATGGCTCAGCAAGACTTGCGACATGCCAGTGCTGAACCCCTTAAAAAGCCCGAGTGTCATGTTGAAGTGGAAATGCACCTTCAATGACCTCTATCCCATGCCTTTAGGTATCCCTTTGCTTTGGCACAAACAAAAGAACATGCGCCCCAGTGGCGAAGCTGGGTGCGCATATATACATGTAATGTATATATTGTACATTGATTGATGTGTATGTATCATGCCTGTGCAGATTTGTATATGCACAACAAGTAACTTGTGTCAAGTCTACATGTTCTGACGCAGCAAAGTCTCCTCCACAGGTCTCGCTGGCTGAAATGCGGTTCGTTTGAACCTGAACAATGAGCAAACGTCAACTCTCCAAACAAGTTCTACTTGCTCTTCCCGTCCCTCACCGTTTCCGAACGCCTCTGCTGCTTATCCTGAGCCTGTCTCCCGTTTCTGCCAACCTCATCTCTGTGCGCTCCCCCTGAAAGTAGATGGCACAATTCCCTTGCGGGCAAGTGGGGATGAAACCAACATGAGGGGGATTGAGCATCTACTTTCACTCACTGATGCGATTGCCATGATGTCCAAGGCACTCCAATGGCTTCTTCTTGCGCGGCGCCTGATCAAGGTGAAAGCATTCGGAATTTGCGCGTTGTCTAAATGCTTGGAAATGCTCGCAACCAGGCCGGCCTCTTGCCAACGGAACAGGTCACTCATAGGCAGATGACTGAGCCTGCAATCAATGCGCAGGTTTGTGAGTGCTACTGTGTTGCTCTTGTAAACTCTGTTGGCCTGTTGAACAGATAAGCCCAGAAGAGCACAGCCAATGCATTCCAAGACTTGAGACTCACGATTGCTGAAGCCAAAGGCAAGACAGGCTGGCCATGTTAACTTGTAAACTCTGGCGTGTTGAACAGAAAAGCTCAGAAGAGCACAGCCAACGCAGTCCAAGACTTGCGACTCACGATAGGCAACACAAAGCTTTCGAAGACAAGCTATGAACCTAGACTACCCCTGGCACCCCTCGTTCTGATTCTTGGCCCTGGTTCCATCATGAAAGGGGGGGTCTTTCAAACTCCTTCGCAGAACCTCTTCCCACCGGCCTGCGCGGAAGGCTGCGACGGTGCGAGCTGCGATTGCGGCGTGGCTCCGCACCGCAGATCCTCACCTGAGCCACTTGCTCAAAACCCAGGTAAGGCTCGTAAGGGACAATCCCAACCATAAATAGCTGCGGATATCCGCCTTCTGAATTCCTGAAGCATGGTTCTGGGTAGACCATTTTAGTACCGGGCTTTGAGCAAGTGACTCACCTTGCGACGGGGCTGCGGTTCTGGTCACACAACTAGGACAAGACTTGCTGGTGCGATAGGAATGAACCTAGGGATGCCCTTGAAGGAAACCACAAGGGATGGCTTTTGTCGGGGTCATTCCATTTCTCATCTATCGCACCAGCAAGAAGAAGCCTCTCTCACACACACACACGCTTACTTGCACAGGACAATCGAGCCAACGCTCTCGGTGAATTCTGGCGACAGGCTGAAAGGACCTCACGGCGCAAAAAATCACGTCGAGGGAGTCGGGGCATGGATTGGTGGTGCAGAAATCGGCTTGCAATCGGTCCATATGGTGCAAACAAGCTTCAAGCTTGTCAACTTGCGCTTGCGCACTCGTGTTAACCCCATATTAATCAACCCGTGTTCATTAGAAGGGGGTATTCCCCTCCAAAAGTGCTGATTCCCCACTAAAGCCAGGGACACCCCCTATTAATCAACCGGGGTTGACTGGCTCCAACAGCACTCTGAATCAGAGTCGATCTGTGTCCAAGACACGAAAGGACTGCGCTCCCCGCCACAGCTCTCTGGCAAGGTTGAGAGCCTGGCACGTTCAGCGGCCAAATGGGGCATGGCTTCGGCTTTCCTTTTGGTTGTCTAGGTCCTCCAGTAGAGAGGTTAGAATAAGTTGGTACCCGATATGCTTTTTCTGTAGTCTATTTTAGAGGGGAACCCTCCCCAAAACAGGGTAAAAGGGCACTACTGGGGGAGCTAGTTGTCCTCTAAAAAAACAACAACGACTCGCCAAACATCTCGGCTTTGTCCTATCTGCTCAGCTCGCGGTTTTCCCCCAAAAACGAGCTTCACGGCATCTCTTTCGCCTTTGAAGCGTTCTTGGCAGCGGCTGGAGCGGGAGCCGCTGCCTCGTTGGCACCTGCCACATGCTCAGACACTTGTCGCTGCACTGGACTAGATGACTGTGTACAGTCTTTTTGGGTCTGTCTTGTTGGGGAACCCCCTTTTGGTTGTCTTGTAAAGGGAACGACTGGGAAAACCATTTTGGGGGTCGCCTAAAACAAGACACAAGCATATGATCAAAACGGGGAGGGAATAATTAGTTCGTGGGGATGCCACGGAAAAGTATTGACCCACATTTGCCGAAGAGCTATGCCCAGTAGTGGTATCTTCAGATCGCTTGAGGAAAGCAAACTCTGAACATGATGGAAGCTCACCAACATTGTCACCCACATGACCGCACGTTTTAAGGTAGCAGCAGCTATCCCCAATCTTAATCTGAGTAACTGTGACTTGGTGTACTGGTGCATCCACTTGGACTTGTTCGTCGTCCTGTGCCTGTCAACGCCCCCCGCGCCAAGTTGATGTGGATAAAACTCTGTACCTTTCCTCCCACCTACATGGCACTTGTGAGGTACCCGGGAAGAATCAATTCAATATTTTAAGGGGACACCCTGGCAGGTGCCATGTTCGCGGGAGCGAAAACGCAAGTTGTGCCTGGAGCGGCGCCGCGCTCGCCAGCCCTCGGTTCCGCCGCTTCCGCCCTCGGCGCGGCTTCTGCCAGACCGAAGAAGCGGCGGCAGGCCTCGCCGCGTCAGTTGGGGTCTTCAAAATGATTCACAATCAAAACCCGGTGTTCAGATGGCAGACCCAAACCAATGTAAAGAACTACAAAGGCCGGAGGCGGTCGCACCGAATTCTTGCAAATGTGTCCCTTCCCTTCAAGGCGAGTCACAATCACCAGACTTGTTGAGGTTTCCACGGCTCCAGCAGTCCCGGCTAGGTCTTCCGAGTCGCATTGCGTTGCTCCCATACCATTGCCAGAAATGAGTCCCAATCAACACCCGGTAATAAAACGGCCGGGACAACCAATGTAATGAACTACAAAGGCATCCGCACCCAATTCTTGGGATTGTCCCTTACCCAATTGCCCGGGTTCTGATTGTGACTCAAATGGGCGCGGTCCCCCAAAGGTTTTCCTTTTGGATTGGTCCGCGTGGGCGTGTCTTCTCAAAAGAGGATCCCCTTGCTTGGGTGCTTGGGTGGCTTTAAAGGAGAACCAAAAGGAACCCACCCATTTTAGGGATTCCCCCATTAGACAACCGCGTGTGTTCGAACTTTCGGGCCTGCACCGCTGCATCCATCGCCATCAGGGACACCTGCGAGAGAGGATCAGGGCCAGCAGGCTTTTCCAGGGCTGTGATATCGCATGTGCGCGTGCCAAGAAAGAGGGGCCGCTGTTTGGTGTGCCCTTTAAAATGCAGCACAAGCAAAAGGCACTGCCAGTATTTTGAAAAAGCAGCCACATATTTGAGAACCCACATGGCAAACGCCCCAACCTCCGTTCACTTGCGCTACCAACTCATTGCACGTGGCACTTGGCCATGGGCTGGGTTAGCCCCCAGTGAACATCTGATTCAATCCAACCACTAAAATAGACAACTAAAATGGTTGGTGAACTCACCAATCCCAACCAAAATGGGCTCTCAAAACGGTTTTGGTTTTGACCCCCACGTTGCGCCGCCCCAAAAACCTCGCCACCGGCCACCTGATTCTCCCGATCTCCCGCTGCCTGCGGCCGCAGCCAGGAGGACAAACCGCCCATGCGGCCCCCGAAGCGAGCGTCGCAGAGCACCGCGGCGCCGTAGTCCTGCCCTCAGACGCGGGAGCCAGCGGTGCATGGCTTCCATTGGCGTCAAGCGCCCGGGGTTTTGCAGTGGAAACGGGTGGCTCGGCATTTTTGTTAAGGTTGGACCCCAAAATGTTGCAGTGGAAACATGGGTGGCTCGTTTTTGTTTGGGGGTTTAAGTTGGACGTACAAGTTCTTTTTCCAGGTTGGACCCCCCCAAAGTGTGTTTTGTTCTTCTTGGTTTCCCTCTAAAACCCCTAGAAAATGGGCACCCTCCAACAAAGACCCACCCATCTATCAACTGCAAATGGCAAGAAACAAGGCTGCTACGGGCACCAATAAGGCAAGGATAGCACGGCCATACAAAGCTTGCAAGCGTAGTTGTGACAACTCTCTGTCCGACCTCCAAAGGTACCTTTTGCCGCAGGGTGGGATGTGGGAGGGATGATCTTATGTCAGCAAGTGGCACTCCTTCGCTTTCCCATTGGCTACCTGGAAAAACATACAGGGAACCAAATATGCCAAATATGCTGCAGTGTTCAGGATCCTTCAAGCCTGTTGCGCCTTGACGTTGCGAGTTAACTCATCACTGCAAAGCACTGCGGTTCGCTCAAGCTGCAAAAAGGGGACTCCTGGGACATGAAGCCGACCGAGGAAAGTGTAACGAATCGCAAAGAGCCACGTCTTCCAGAAAAATATTGTTGGCCCCTCCCGGTGCTTCCGGTTTCGTGTATAGTCGGTAACCAGCTTGGCTATATACTTATTGGTAACCGGCCAGTTCCCAGAACCACAACATAATTTTGACCCCTGGTTCATCAACCTCCCAGATATGAAAAAAGAACTAGATCCCCTTGGAAGAAAGGATTCCGCACCAAACAATCTGGACCCCCTGCAACATTCAGCAGTGTAAAACCCCGTGGGGACAAGCACGAAAGGCTTCAAACCCTTGGGAATTACAGCTGGTCTTTCTGCCAACGGTGAAAGTCTGCATGATCTTCAACAGTGCCAAGCCAGGCTTTGGGGTCAAAAAGGCGGGGCCCGTCAGATTCAGCAACGCTGTTAAATAATATCTTGAAACCACCATTATGGGTTCCATGTCAATTTGCAGGGGGTACCAGGTTCAGGACACAAACAAATCATGGTCTCAACCACCTGTTTCTCTGGCAAGTCGACCAGAGTCTCTCTCACCAAGCCGCGATGACGGATGACCCGCCCCAATGTCTGGTTCACCGCACGCATCGCCTCCCGTTGGTACCACAAAATCCCGGAGCCCTGCAGATGGCAGTCCAAGAAATCCTCGCGAAGGAAAAAAAGAACAGGCAACAGGGGCTATAAACAGGGGGCTAAAAAATTAACAGGGGGCAACAGTAGTCGTTTCAAGGGGAGCAACGGGGAGCAAAGAAACGAAAAGAAAAAATAAAAAAAATCTGCCCGGAAAGTGTGCAAGGGACCGAATCCAGCTTGCCCGTCATTCCATTGCTTGGAGTCCAATCCCTTGGAAGTCCTTCTCTCTGGCAGTCTGGGACTTTTTGAACTGCTGATCGCATGACTGGATGCTCCTAAGTGCAGCCTGTGGATGTCGTGTGTCCTTAAGGCCCTGTTTCTACTGTCTCCCATGGCAGTGCCTGCAGCCTGCAGCCAATGTCGGCTGTGGGTTCGCTCACTCCTTCAGTAGCCCAAGTTTGCTTGCTGTGGCTATGAAGATTGACCACATTAAAAATACGCGGTACCCCTTTTTTTGTTGCTTTAAAGACAAACCTAACACCCGCCTCTTCTTCTTCTTCTCCTTTTTTTTTTGGGGGGGGGGGCGATTCCTAACAAAGGACACACCCAACTCGCACACTTTCTCACGAAATATTATCACTTCCTGAGTTCCTGGACTTTAAGCGCTTTGGTAGACCAATTTAGTGGCAAACCAACAGTGTTTCGGCTTTTTGTGGCCAGTCCACTCGATCGGAAGTGAGCAGCCCAGCTTCTCACACACCCAGCTTCGGTCCTGCTTGAGGATGACACGCAAATCATTCTTCGCCGGGTAGGGAATCCCAACCATCACCTGCAAATTGTAGGAAAATGGCAACAGCCAATTGATGAAGAACCCCCTGCTGAAAAGGAGGCCAAGACCCTTGCCACCACATTCGGTTGTCTGTCCGTGACCAACATGATCTCACTCAAATCCCGCGACTTCCAAAAGGCTACATTCGAGTTGCTCCCTTTCGGCTTTTCGGGTGAGAATCGCTTCCTGAGTTGAACCCAAAAAGTGCAAACCTTTTGTTTACCACTAAAGTGGTCGTTCCAAAAAGGATAAAGTCCAGGAACTCAGGAAGTGAGATACGGCATGGAACGTTTGTTGGCTCCGACTCTCTGCATTTTCAAGAATGCCTAGTGAGGCCGTCCGCGAAGCTCCAACTGGAAAGGCCACCACATGTTGCAAGTTGCCTTACACATATATGCATGGGTGTCATTTGGGAACAATAGATGGCCCTGGTCAATAGAACAAAACCCATCTAAACCAGTGCCGTCTATTTTCAATAAGGACACCAAAGCATATATGCAACAACCATGAACCAGGGATCACTGCCATACGCTGCAGCCCCTCCGAGTCTGCCAACCACAGTCTCAACGTCTAGCTTCTTGGCACAGCAATATGCTCTATTCACAAGTAGGGACCCAAAAGGTGGGTTTCCCCTTGGTTTCCCTTCTCTTTTTCGCAACCAACAAGACTACCCTCACAAAACAGTCATGGATTTCCCCTCCTAAAGTTGCAATTTGCTGGTGGTGTTCATTGACCCCCAAAAGGGAAATTGAGGGACCCGCACAAAAAAAAGAGAGAAAAACGACTCCTGAGCCACGGCACTACCATTCGGCACTGCTTGTCTGTGAAGTCCTGAGCCGAGCGACCAGGTTTCTTCCCTTGGAATGACGGGGGGCACCGGAAAATGGGTGCGGATTTTGTTATTTGTTACTATTATCATTATATTATTATTATTATTATTATTATTATGATTATTATTATTATTATTGTTGTTGTTGTTGTTGTTGTTGTTGTTGTTGTCGTCGTCGTCGTCGTCGTCGTCGTCGTCGTCGTCGTCGTCGTCGTGGTTGTTGTTGTTGTTGTTGTTGTTGTTGTTGTTGTTGTTGTTGTTGTTGTTGTTGTTGTTGTTGTTGTTGTTGTTGTTGTTGTTGTTGTTGTTGTTGTTGTTGTTGTTGTTGTTGTTGTTGTTGTTGTTGTTGTTGTTGTTGTTGTTGTTGTTGTTGTTGTTGTTGTTGTTGTTGTTCTTCTTCTTGTTATTATTATTATTATTACTAGTAATACTATTAATAATAATATTATTATTATTATTATTATTATTATTATTATTATTATTATTATTATTATTATTATTATTAGTTTTTTCCTGCCTGGAAAACTCCCCTTCAAAAGTCGCACAATTTGCTGGCGGGTGTCCCTTGAAACTACCGACTTTTGGAGTTCCAAAGGGGACCATGGAGGAACCCCTGCATGACGGCAGCTTGTGCTTCCGATCCTTGCTGACAGTCCAGTGACCCCTCTGGGCAGAAGCGGGAAGCCTTTTCCGGCGTTGACCATAGGAAAACCCAACCAAACGGGCAGACCTGCGGCACTGAAGAAATGGGCTAAGTCCTCCAGTAGAGAGGTTAGAATAAGGGTGCCAACTTTTTTCAGGACGTCTATTTTAGTAGCGGAACCCTCCCCGAAAAAAGGAGAGAAGGGCACTAACTACAGGGGGACTTAGTGGGTGATGCACACCCCGCTAGCTCCACGTGTTTCTAAAACTCGTGCACAGCCACAATATGCGCAGCACCCATCGATAGCACTGTCACTGATAGGCACAAGCCCTAAGCCCACCGCACCATCCAGCAGAACGAAATCCCTGTGCTCAGGAAGTAACTGCGAACTCGCAACAGTACAACAAATGCAACCGCAATCCTCAGTTACACTCGGAAAGTGAGTGGTTTGACTGGACACTTGGGCAATCCAGGACCCTACAATATCCACCTGTTTGATGTGCAACCTTGTTGATTGTGAGACCGTAGGAACTTGTGTCTCAGATATTCAATCACGGCTGTAAGATATGTGTCTGTTGCACGTGTGCGCAATGCATGCATCAGCCAGAAACGAGGCTAGAAGAAACGTGATGATGGTTGCCACTTGTGTGTGTGTGGGTCAAACATAGGGTAATCCAGAAAATAAATAGGTCGTTTTGACAAATGGAAGGACTAGAACCTGCTTTTGTCTCACTTCCTGAGCACATTGGCCAAAACAAGTCTGAACTTGCTACTTAATTACCACTGACATGGTCTTCCAAAAAAGTTTAAAGACCAACTCAGGAAGTGAGTTGTTGTCCATATCCTTTCATTTTGACCCATTCACTTCTTTTCGCTTCTCTGGTGGGGGAAGACGCCAAGGCGCGATGCCTTCACACAGCTTGCCTCGGCACACCGCTGCCAGGATGGCGCCGGGCCCGCCTGGACGGCTTCAAGCGGCTGGGCGATGGAGATCGAAGTGCCCAAGCCCATCTCGGCGAAATCTGCGAAGCCCTGCTAAAAGTGACGAACTTTTCGTCAACGTTGGCAAAAAGTGAAAGTTCTTTTTTTGTTTACCATTCGTTGGCAAAATGCAGCAAAGGCATATCTAGAGGTTGATTGATCTGTGGCTTAGTGGTTGGGGGTGGCTTCCCTCACCTCTGCAAAAAAGCTCGGGGTTCAAGTCCAAATCCAAACCTCCAGGGGGTGGTTCCTTTTCCATTCTTTTCAGCCATCGTTCTTTTCAAAAACCAGATCCATTTCTCCAGGGTTTTTGGTGGTTTTCTAGAAAGCAGGATCCCTGGGTTAAGAATGGAATTGGAAGTTACCCCCGGTTACCCCTAGGGCATACTAGGGCATAGAGAGATTGAATCAGTGACAGACCGGGGTGTTGGCCTCTCATTAATCCAATGCAACCGGAATTTTGACACATCCGAGGCTGCGAGGGCTTCTGCTTTGAACCAGTTGCCGTTCAGGACGACAACTGCGAGCACAAGGAACATGCGCTGGGTCCCCGCAAGCTCGAGGATTGTTGGTGTGCATCGGTCTCCGCGAGGAGTAACACTTCCTAGAAGCCAGTGCGACAACATATGAGTCATAACCAAAACCCGGCATTTAAATGGTCGACCCAGAACCATGCTTCAGGAATTAAGAAGGCCGATCTCCGCAGCTATTTGTGGTTGGGATTGTCCTTTACTATCCGTCATCTACCCGGGTTTTGAGCAAGTGGCTCACATGCCACGGAATTGCAGGCGAGTTCTGATGCAGCGGTGGCTGTTTGCACCTCTGGCTCGCAGGCTCCGGAATCGGAGTCCGCAAAAATGTAAACGCGCGCGCGCCAAGGCGTGCCGCTTTTTGTTTTCTTCTTCTGTCGTGCCCTTGCGACAAACTTTACATGGGGACCATGGACCGAAAGGACACCAGCCACTTTTGAGGGGTCGATTCCCATTTTGAGGCACAGCCAGTTGAGGAACTGCAAAGCCCGGCCTCTGTCAAGGGCCTTGTTGTATTGCTCCATCACCTGCTTCGTCTCGTTGCTGCCCTAAGCTGCGGGGCATTTGTCAAGTGCGCTTGAATCTTGCCACCCCGCAACATGGCCGGCTCGGTAGGCTTTTTCGGGTTGGTCTAAAGGGAAAGGACATCCGCCGTTTTGAGGGTCCCCTATCTCGACACATACCCACATGAAAGTCTACCTGCCCTATTGAAAGACGACCTTCCTTTTGGGAAAAGGGTCCTGCACGTGTCCATGCTGTGCTTTAGGGCACCTGTTTGAACATAGATGCCGACAAACATCCAACAACATGTGGGCCTGTCTCTTCTTTCTTTTTGCGGGTGCTCGTGTTGGGGGGTGGTTTCAAGGGAAACCCAAAAGAAAACCATCCAACTCGGGCCCAGGAGGGGACCCAATTGTTCCCGGTGTTTTTGTTCCCGTTGGTTTGGGTTCTAGGTTTTAGGACCTGATTTTTCTGTTGATCTTGGTTTGTCGGACCCATGTTTCCAACCCCCAATCTGTCTTTGCTTGTTGCTCGAAGAACCATTTTGTGGGTTGGCCAAGATGTTGTTGGACCGGGGCAACCCCTGCATGTTGATCTGGCCATGGGTCAAAATCCCGTACCCCCAGTAAACATCGCAATCCCCAGTAAAATAGGTTCTAAAATGGGTGGTGAATTCACCTACCCCAAAATGGGATCCCATTGGTTTTGATCCACAGCCATGTGAGTTCTGCACTGCCATGTGGGCTGGCTGGTCTTTCTGTTAGCGGCCGCCCAAAATGGTGGCTTCCCTTTGAAACCTACCCACAAATGGCTTTGGCTTAAAAAACCGGTGCCAAAATGGAACCCTGGTAAGTGGAAACATGGACCATAACCTGCGTCACCCCTCCTGTTTAATTTTGAGCCACACCCAAATGGGGACCCACAGCCATCTCAAGTTGGCCCCTCTTCACTCCACCGGGTCCGCCTTGGGCTCTTCGAAGATTGGCTTCTCCCGGGAGATCTCCTCCAGGATGCCATGCTGGCGCCAGGCCTCCAGCACGCTGTCCTTCCTCGGTTGCTTTCTGCTAAAGGTTTAACTTTTAGTGGTTTAATGGAAAACGCATAAGTTAAAGTCCTAACATCCAAGCAACATGCACCAACACTTCCTGAGTCTTTTTTGTTTCAGCCAGGATGCTTCGAAAACTTGCGGGCGCTCAGTAGTGGAATGAGAAATGGAATGACCCCCAAGCATCCAACTGGTGGTTTCCTTGAAGGGGACCCCTTTGGGGGCCGTCCACTGGCACACAAAATGCCAAGCAATTGCTGGCTGTGTCTTCCTGGGATGTTTTTTTTGCGGCAAGAAGGATGCTAATAAATACGTCAATGAAGCGGATCACATCGACAAGGGGGGAGACTTTGCTGGAGACGAATCAACCAATCAAACACTTGCCTCCGTTTGCTTAAGCCCCCTGGAAAATTTCAAAATATTTCCAATAGTGATAGATTCCCTTTAAAACCAAAAGGGGAAATATAACATATTATCAAGCAAATGGAAGCTCAAGGACCTAATTTCTCACGCTCAAACTCCCTAGCTTGGGTGTTGGCATGTGTTGACCTTCAGTCGAGTTGTCACCGTGCATCACACCTTGGTCAAAGTGTGTCGACCGCTCTTCCACATGAATTCAAGAGCGGCCACGACCTTGACAATCACTTGCTTGCTGTGGCGACCACTCTACAACCAGTTTAACTTTTTGTGGGTTCAACGGAAAACTCTTGAGTTCAACCAAAAAGTTAAAGTCTATCCAACAGCAATGAGAACCATTGCAAGTTGTTTTTGGCCGACGTTTCATGGAAGACCTGATTGGGCCCTGCACCTTACCCAGCCAAACTGCTTTCAGAAGGTAACTTCCAGCTGCCCCTCGCACTCACAGTGAAGCCCTCCAAGCGAGTAGATGGTGGGTCTGGGATGGAGTCTGGTTGTTGGCGGTTTTTTCCAGCAACACGGACCTCTGGGTGCAGAATGGTTGGAGCTTGCCCTCAGAGTTGTGGTCTGTTTTGTTTTTTCTGAGCCCGGTTCCAGGAAAATGCCCCCGCAATTTTGCTGGAGATGTGATTTAGACCAGATGCGGGAGATGGGAAGATCACGTGTACAAAACGACCTGAAATGGGCGTCTTAAAACATCCTTTGGTTTACCGCCCTCGGGTAAGAACCCCTCAAATGAAGATTCTCTTTCAGAAGGGGGGGCCATGGGGGATGGAGTTGTGAAAAACACATTTGTTCATGTAATTGCCCTAACATACCAATTCTGTATCCGCATTCAATTGCCAAATCAATGACATCAAGTATCTGTCGCGCTCCTCAAGCAAACATCTCCTGCGATCTGCGTTCCTCAAGCAGCCTCGTAAAAAACAAAAAAAAACTCGAGTTTTCCAAACGAACAAAACAAAACTCCAGGCTTCACCCTGATCTGGAGCACGGGGTCAGCGTTTTTCTGGACAACTCTAGGTTTTCCTCACCTTTCCAAAAAAAACACAAAAACCTCGAGTTTTCAAAAAAACTCTCAAGCTTGCTTGGCGTCTTCGCGTCTTCGCCTGAATCTCTGAAGACAGACCGGAATTGCATGTGGACCAGCTCTGCCCGTAAACCAGACGATGAAGGCTAACCGCCAGCCCAGGCAGCAATGCCACGTACTCAGGGCTAAGTCTCGCTCTGCATCTTTTTTGCAGAAGCCGGCGGCGCTATGAAAACCCATTCAGGCCCACACGCGCACGCACGCACACACACACACACCCACACACACGCACACACCGTTCTGCGCCCTCCTGCTCCTCACCTCGAGAGAAAAGAAAACTTCCCTCATGCTTATTCAGCTCCAACTTCCATCCGTGTTCTTTGGCTGAAGCCAGATATTCAACCATGAAATTGTGCTGGGATTTGTCACGCGGGCCGCCAAGCATGTAACTCCAAGCAGAATGTACGACCAACCACTGCCGATACATGGAAGCTTCCTCTGCTCCCAGAAGCTGCCCATCGTCAGGTTTCACAACGCTCGCGTTGCGCAGCACCACCTTCCAGTAAGCACCAGCTCCTGCAGCGCCGCTATGCGCTTAATGTCTGGTCTTACAGCTAGACCGTCCTCTGTGATCTCATACGTCTCTTTTTTCAAGAACTACCTGAAACCACGCTATCATCTGGATGTAGATCCAAGACCACCCGGGCGCCATTCATGATGCTTGACATTGACCTTGCGCCATCCTGAAGCTCCACTTCTCTGTCCAGGAAGCAGTCGGTTGAGCACAGGCCAACCACCTTCACCCTCCTCAAGTCGACAATGATCGGCCTGTCCTGCAGGACTCTCAAACAAGCATCTTTTACATCAAAAGTGCAGATCTTCTCTCCTTAGCCGTCCTATCAGGATTGCAAGCCTCGCTGCGCATGCATTGGTCGAAGGTGCAAACACTCCAGACAAACCAGCGCTCAAGAAGCCAATTTGGCCTCTTCCTCCAGGCTTTAGCCGTCAGATGCCCGAACTCATCATTCTCCAGGCCCGCCGTTGCCTTCAAGAGCACCTCCGTGAAAATCAGTCGCTCCAACTCCCTTATCAAGCTCAGTCTCATCCACTTCTGGTGGACCATCCGTCAATTCTGCCATGAACTCTTCCATCATTGGCTCCAGAGATGCATCCTCTTCGTGCTCCATCACCGCATTCGCGCAGCGTAAAGCGCCCTGTTTCTGCACTGTGGGGTTCCACCACAGCCCTTCTCTCCTCTCTTCAAGTCCTCATCCCCCTCCCTCCTGATCCGATGAGCCGCTCACCCTCACTGACCTTCTTGCTGCTGCTCCTGGAGCCTGAAGAACTTGAACTGCTCCCCAAGGCATCGGCTACATCTGCTGCCGCTTGCGCAGCTTCCATCTCACCTTTTGCAGTTGCCGGTGCAATTGTACCTCGGACCCTCTCGCGTCTTCGCGTCTTCTGGGCGAAGCTCTGAAGCTCGCGTCTTCGGAGCTTTGCGTCTTCGGGCGGACTTGTGAAAGACCGCGCTGCCGACTCAATGCACTTTCCCCAAAAAAAACAAAAATACTCAATGCACTGTCCCCCAAATAATAATAATAAGAAGAAGAAGAATAACAATAAATTTGAGCTTTCCAAAGAAACCAAACAAATCAAAACTCCAGGCCCCATGATAGGGGGTCTCGAGGATCTGGGGCATGGGGTCTGGGGTTTTGGTTTTGTCTCTTCGCTTTTTTTTGAAAAACTCGAGGTTTTCCTCACTTTGTTTGTACAACTCGAAAGCTTCTGAGAACCTTGCCATGGTGTTTGCTGAGGTTTCTGTGTGTGTTTTTGTTCCTCATGTATCTCTGCCTGACGTCTCCACTGCGCACCTTACCCCTTTGTATTCCTCTAGTCTTCCTTTAGTATTGTCCTTGGGCAACCTGTTTTTGCACACGCATCCTGGATTGCAAGAATCCTGCGTCACTAAGCCACACGGATGCCTGTCCTTATGAAGTCTGCTTAATATCTTTATCAAGTTCTACTCAATTTGAAGGATAATCCAATCAGAATTCCTGTTTTGAATTAAATGTTACACGCGAGATCCTTTCCCATAGACTTGTCCTTACAAAGCAGTACACATGTAAACACAACATTGAACTGTTTTGGCACCCCATATTTGTTTGCTTATGAACTCATATTTCATATCGTTATCAAATTATACTAAGAGAATGCTAGGGGAACACTGAGGAAATACTTCGGGAATGATCAGGGAATACTGGGGGAGTGCTGGGTTCCCTGGGCGTAAGAGAATGCTAAAGGAATAGGGGGAATGTGAGAGGAATTGGGGAATTCTCAGAGAAAGGAATGCCAGCGGAAAACAGAATACCGAGAGAATATTAAAGAAGTAGTAGAAAAACGCCGAGGAGACAATAGGGGAAAAGACAACTCTCGGGAATGCAAAGGGAAACGCTAGGAGAATACTAGTGAGAGAGTACTAGGGGTGTACCAAGAAAACACTAAGGAATACTAGGGAAATATTATGGGAATACTAGGGGAATACTGAGGAAGTACTGAGGGAATACTAGGCGTGATCTAAAGGAATAGGGGAACACTAAAGGAATACTAGGGGATAGGGAAGTACTACTAGGAGAACAATGAGCCAATACTTGGGGATGATTAAGGGAGTACTAAGGAAACACTGAGGAAATGCTAGAGGGTATACCAAGAGAATACTAAAGGAATACTAGAGGAATACCGAGCAACATTAAGGGACTACTCGGGGAACACTCAGGGCATACTAGAGTGTATATCAAGAGAATGCTCAAGGAATACTAGGAGGGGAATACTAGGAGAATACTAAGGGTGAATACTAGGAGAAAACTAGGAAATTACTAAAGAAATGATGGAGGAACATTGAGGGAGTACTGGGCGAACACTCAGGGAATACTAGAGGGTATGCCAAGAGAATACTACACCCTATGACTGATCTGGCCAGGTCAAAACAAGCCTCAATGCAGCCTGCCTCACACTACCATGCTTGAAACACAATAACTTGGCTACTTTTACAACGTTTTATAACTCCACCACCCCTCGCGCCCCGCCCTCTTTTCTTTTTGAGAGGAGGGGGCTCATCCTTCCCAGTGACAACCCCACGGGCCGTGTTTTTCCGGATTCCCAAAAGGCGGTGTCCCCAAACAACCAGGGGTTCCACTTGGGTGTCTGTTGTTGATGCTGCCCCTGTTTGGCGCGCCCACCCCACTCCCATCCCCGACCCCGCCCCCACCCCACCTCACCCACGCCACCCGCCTATTATAAGACACCACTCCCCCACCTCCCCCGCACCCCCCCCCCCTATTATAAGACCCCCCCCCCGGATCGACGGCCGACATCGAGCGGCATGCCGTAGGAGGAGAAGGCCAAGAGCATGCCCTCAGGGCTCGCGCTGGCTAACCGCTGCACCGTGGCGCCCAGCTCCTCAAACAAATCCGCACGCGGCTCGAGCGCGAGACATACGCGCACCGTCGATGGACTGAGCTAGCTGGGTATCCCGAAATGTCAGAGACAGAAAAAATAAGAAGAAAAAAAACAAACTATGTGGTTTCCATGATGTTGGGTTACCCTCCCACCAATGAGCATGGAACATGACGTTCGTGGGTGGGAGGGTATGTACTCTTCGGTATGTAAGTTTGCCCTTGATGTTGAAAGTTTGCCCGAACATGCCAGTGGTAAACCCTCACTTCCCAAGTTGACTGGCCAAAAAAAGTCTGAACTGTTTATTTACCACTAAAATGGTCTTCCCAAAAAGTTTAAAGTCCACCAACTCAGGAAGTGAGAACCTGAATAAATCTGGGTGTGCCTTCCGCTTCTTTCCCACTTCTTTGCCTGGGGATCGATCGCTCCGATTTCCATAAAACGGGACTTTCGCTGGAAGCGGTGTCCCTGAAAGCCAGGTCTCAGCTGCCCAAAGGACCCAGAAATCAAAGGATAACCTCTTGGGGCCATGACGAAATATGGACCAAAATAGGAAAGCCAAAAGGTGAAAAGGTCGGCTTTGAACAAGTGAGATGTGCTTGAAAATACCCCCATCCCCTGCCTTGATGTAAGCAAGGTCGTTGCGGCGGCTGTAGCTGGCATCCAAGCTCACCTGGCGTCCCTTCACTCGCACCACAGTTCCACTGGCGAGCAAGGGACCCTGGCTTGAGCGCCCTCCAGACTCCACGCCCGACTTGCTTTGACTTGATAGTTTCAAGAACAAGCTTGCCGCACCCTCCAGCATCTTGAAGTTAGCCAACTGTGGGGTTGCTTGTGCCTGCACAGGTATTCAAGCATGCAGCCAGGCTGGCAGGCAGCTCATGATTGTGATCAAGCCCCGCCACCTCACTGGCGTTTGCTCTTCATGCCTACTATCCAGCCCATTGTCCAGAAGCAATATTCAATGAAGGTAACCACGAGGGATACCTGAGAAGGGAGAAACCAAAATAGGACCATTGATTGATCAAGGTTTGCTCTCACCGCAGTACTTTCACCCAGCCGCAGAATTCCACCTTGACGAGAGGCAAGATTACAGTTAAAACAGCCACACATGGGTATGTCCTTTTTTGTTGCGGGTACCCTTTTTGGGGGGTGTTTAGAGGGAAACCAAAAACCCGCAGCCCTGCCTGAAAGAAACGGCACGCGCATCCAAGACCAACATCTGTTGAAGGCCCCAACAGTTTACTCAATCAAAAGTCCTCGGCTGATGTGGGTCTCTTTCTGAGTTGGTTTCGCCTTTTCCGGGGGTTCAAATGGAAGCCAAAAGGAACAGCACCGTTTTGTGGCACATGAGTCCCCCCACACCGGGACTGGAACCCCAAAGCTCCCAATAAGAATCAACATCTGGGTAGGTCGTTTTTAAGGAGTATCTCCTGTTTTGTGCGTGTTTTTGCTTAAGGGAAACTAACGGATCTCCTTTTTGTGCGTTGTTTCAAGGGAAGCCAAAGGGAAACCACGAGAAATCCCGTTTTTTTCGGCAGATGCGGTCGCATCTCCATGCGCCTCCGTGGGGCCTTTGGCCAAGAGCGCACCGAAGAGCTGCTTGCCTGTGGCGTGAGCTGGCCACCGGAGCCACCGGCCGCCCAATGGGCGGGGTGGAGAGCTTAGAATAAGTTGGCACCAACGATTTTCTGTCTGTACCCGATAACTCCTCTAGGTCCTCCAGATTTGAGAGGTTAGAGTGAGCTGGTACCCGAGTTGTTTTTCGGCTTTGTCTATTTTAGTAGGGGAGCCCTCCCCCCAGAAAGGGCGGAGAAGGGCACTACTGGGCAACCGAGCGTGTCCATTCAACCACCAAAAGAGGGGCTGGCACGACAAACATGACATCGGCAAATGATGGTGTTGCAGGGGACACAAAGGGATTTCCAATTAAAAGTTGATACAGCGATCTTTTCTTTACGGGCGGTGTTCGTTTCCATGTTTGTTTGCTCGCCACTCTTGGAGTCCCAAAAAACAAGAGATGAAAGAAAACCTGTTAGTTGGCCTGGGTAAAGAATGACATGAGCTCTGGTCTTTTGGGTTGGACCTCCCAAAATGGGTGGCCCCCTTTATAGTTGTACTATACATGTATACTTCATAGACGTATTTGTGCATGTTGTGCATACAGTGGAAAGCGGGTAGCTGGTGACAGGAAGCATCCATCCAGCCCATTGTTGGGAGCCATCCAAAGTTGTGCCCAAACAGAAATCCTGGCTGTAGATGTGGGTGTGTCCTAGAACAAATTGCTACACGTAGGTGTGTCCTAGAACAGGGCCCCAAAACACCCAGTTTTTAGCTTCCCGTTAAAGGGTGCCCTATAACTTTTGGACATGCGCTATCTTGAAGCTATCTCTTCGACCGTGCAAACGAATGCAAACGAGCTGCGAGGATCTATGACGTGAGAGTTCTCCAGCACCACGGGAAACGGCACCTCGGATGGGCAAGGGTGTCGCCTTGACGTAGGCTATGGGAGGCAGTGTTGCGAAGGAACGGAACAATATGTTGTATGGTTTCCAAATAGGGGACCCACAAAATGGGTGGTGTCCTGTTGGTTTCCCTTCAAACGAACCCCCAAAAAAAGGTGCCCTCCGAAAAAAAGACGCGAACCCCCACGTCATGAGAGAATGGAAAGCATGAAACAACCGCATAGCATTGAAGGGAATCGGCTGAAGGACCGCATGCTGCAAGGTGTCCATAGTTGAAGCGTTCGGCAAATACCAACAAATGACATGCTGCACGTGCTATATGGCCATGAGTCAAAATCCAGTACCCCCAGTGAACATCCCAATCCCCACTAAAATAATTAGACTAAAATCGGTGGTGCACCTACCCCAACATGGTTCCATATGCTCCTGTCCTTAGCTGGCCCAACTGACACAGCTGGGCAGAAAACAAGCTATGACTGGCCCAAGTCCCAGCTGTTGGCCCAAGAAGGAAACTCCTCACGAGATCTTGGGCGTGCTTGCTTGCAGTACTCCTTTCTGCCCCACCTGGAAAAACTATCGTGATCACCTTTTGGGGCCTTGGCGAGGCCCAAATGGGCCCAATTGGGCCAAAACAGGGAAAACCAAGATTGGTCAAATGGCCAATTCACTTTGGGCAAGTGAGAATATGGAACTCGGTCGTCGGCGTGGACTTTCAATCAAAGCCATGGATTTGCAACATGGTTCAGTGAGGAAGTTGAATGGACAAGTGCCTTTGACATGACGCCAAAACGAGCACGCCTTCGTGAAATGGTCCCTGGCGTAGTGACAAGAGGACGCGCCCCCAAGCCCTCCCTAAACTTCTGCCAAGGTGTGCAGAGTGCTGAACTGCATGCCGGTGTTGACTAGGCTCCTGGCTCCAAATGCCTCGGCGGTGCTGCTGATGGGCGACAAAGTTCCTCCAGCGCGCTGGGGCGCTGAAGGGGCCAGGCAGTGCTCCGAAGCCGGTGACTCTTTGGCTCCACCGGCGGGCTTAGGATTTTGTAGGCCTTGCCTTTCACCCCACTCATCCAAGTAGAACCGCCTGCAAAAATCCCCAATCCGGGTTCCAGGCGCTACTAACAAGGGCCTGGAAATGGCAAGGCACCATCCAACAAGAAATCCCCAAGCCTTTGTCGCTTGAGTGTTGCCCATACCAACATCGGCAACAACTTGTTTACTTGATAATGGCGCTCCAAATTGTTGCACATCCCATGGCTCCACATTCTGCAAGTACACTCCGAAAACCCTCAACCCGTTCATGGGCCGCGGGGCCTACGCGAGACTCGTGCCAGGCTCGCGCCTGAGGTCACGATCACGGAGTGCACCTGGCGAAAGCATGGGTGGCTCGTCTTTTTCAAGGAATCGGACCCCACCAAATGGCGGTCTTTCCATTTGGCTTCCCTTTAAGCAACACAAAAATACAGGAGAGTACCCTCAAACAAAAACTGGAAGACCAACCCAAAACACTGGAGATACCCTCTAAAAAAGAGCCAGACCCAAGAATAGTGCGTCTTTTCTTGGGGAGCCTTGGGGGGATTTTTGAGACTCCCTTCTACCGCTCTTCCAACCGGACCCAAAAAAACCGACCGCTTCGGATTCGTCAGTCAGATCTCGTCCGCCTCGTGCTTCAAGAGCTCCCTCATGGCCACCGAGCAGGAGAAGCACCACAAGCAGAGCCGCCGCGGGGTGTTGCCATCCCTGAGTCCCAAGTAGTCCCAAAAAAGAGCAAAATCATATGGCCATGGGCTTTTCAAAATCCAAATCGTACCCCCAGTGAACATCCCAATCCAACCACTACAATAGGTTCTAAAATGGGTGGTGAATTCACCCACCAACCAAAATGGGATCAACCACAACGGTTTTGACCACCACAGCCATATCCCAGCTGATAATATGAATACTCACTTCAGCCATGGAAGCAAATAGAGCACATGGTGAGCTCGGTTTACCAGGTGAGCTCGCTTTAAAAACTGGCCGGATGCCTGGACACTGAAACCTCAGCGTTGCAATCCTCACGGAGTGGATAGCAATGGGCGTGAGGCAAGGGAACCCACACCGAGGGAATCGGAATGAGCCAGGAATCTGCGGGTTGCACCCTCGAATGACGGAGCCTGCCAGGATCCGTACCTCATAGATTCCACGAATGTGTGAAGCAACATGCCAAGTGCCCAGACGAGGCTTGCAATAAACATCCCCTGAACCCACCCCCACAACCTCCCCTCCCACAAAGTCAGGGCGCGATAAGCCGGCAAGAGCCCAAACAACGCTTTAACAGCCGGTTCTGTCTTTGCTGCTTTGTGTGGCCCCTGAAATCAGCAGTGGAATTGCCACACACAATATGCGCTGGGCCCTGCTTGCATTGGCAGAGTGTCAGATCAGGTCTGAAGATCATCAGTGACGCGGGCCCACAACATACGAAAACCATGAGGACTCCTTGTGAAAACTGGGCTGCCCTCAGGCCCCTCGCTAAAAGTTAAACCTCTAGTGGGTGAAATGGACATCCCCAATAAACACTAAAAAGATCTAAAACAGCTAAGGAACCGGATGGCCTTTGGCGCCACCAAGAAAAGCTTGAGTCCCCAGCGGGCGGGTGCCGTCGGCGGTGAAGAAATCCACCGCCTTGCGCTTGGTGCCTTTCTTCTCGGGCTCTTCCTTGCGAGACCCAGTCAGAGTGGACCCAGCCCCAAAAGGTTGACCTTTTCTCGGTTGCGAAATCTGCTCCCCTGCTAAAAGTTTAACTTTTAGTGGTTTAGTGGAAAACCCCTTAGTTGGCAAAAAGTTAAAGTCCTAACAGCCAAGCAAAATGCACACCTCTACTAAAAATGGGCCGAAAATCAAAAGGTCGGCTTTGGACAACTGAGTGGAGGGTTGCGACCAAACCCATTCGCCACGAAATCGAAGCCATTGACACCATTCTTGGTTTTGGTATTTAGGTTGAAAAATAGAATCATTCCGTTTGGTTTCTGAACGGTCGTGCGATGTTTCTGGATTTCGCCATGGTTGGAGCCATCAAGAACCATGGGATTGACTCTCGGCCATGGCAGCGCCAAGATTCCATGGCACACCATGAAGCGATGCAAAACCTCTTTGCGCGCGCAAACGATGGCAGCATCTTGGCCAACGGCGAGGAATGTGATTGTAGTTAAGACCCTGACACCATGGATGCAAACATGCGCAATCCCGAGCAAAGAATCTGGGTATGAGTTTTAATTGAGAAACCTTACTTCGGCATCACAATCCATGCTTCACCGAACTTCAGTACTTGAGGGTTGCATTTGAAACAGTCAAACAAATAGCCATATCCTTGCACCCCCATGGCTCAGCTTATCAGCAGCATCCCTCATGCCCTTCTCGCCGCTACCAAATCCCTTTGCTGGCCCCCCTCAAACCGCCATTAAAACAATGGGGGGTAGTAGAACCACCATTGTTTTCCTAAGGGTTGTCATCCAAATTGGCTCAACCTTTCTTTTAATGGGTTGAACCCCAGGGTTCATGTTCCAACATCCCGTCGTGCCCACGGTGTACTCAGGATACAAAGCCAACATGAAGCCAAGCAAGTCAGCAAAGCATGGTCACTACCCGATGTGCCTATCTTACTTGTGAGCTAGTCGCCATTTTTGGCAGGGACCTCGCATATGTTGTTTCATCTGCGCCAACCAGTGCTCTCCTCGTAGATGAGAAGCTGGTAATTCTTATCGAGCTCCTTGCCAAAGCTGTCGCAAGCAAGCCCCTTGATGCACTGAATTTTAGGGAGCGTGATCTTGTCACACAGCTTGCAGCTTGCAGTACGTCCGCATTTGGAAAACAAAAAACACTCTTCAGCTCGGATTGGGCATGTCTAGGTCTTCCAGACTATTTTAGTGGGGGAACCCTCCCCCAAAAAAGAAACGGCAAAAGGGCACTGGGGGACCTAGATGTGCAAAACTTTGGCGAGTGATGTGTGCATTCGATGTCCTCCTTGTCATGCTGGAAGGCCGTCAGAAGCAGACTTTGAATCTTCTCCAAGTACTGGCCGCCTGCGACACATGGCTGTGGCTCAAAAAACCGGAATTCCAAAATGGGTTGCCCTGGGAAGTGGAAACATGCACCAAAACCTGCGGTTTGCCCCTCCTGTTTAATTTTGAGCCATACTCTAATATCTTGAACTCCGGACCAATTGACTGCTGCAAGCAAACAAGGCTAGTCCTACTAGGATGCGCACCAGCTTCTGTTTCTCTCAGCTTTAAAAGGCTGCCACGCCCTTTTTTTGGCATCCTGAAACCAAGCGGGCTCAACGCTGAGAGCCAAACCATCAGCATCATGTTTTTTGACGGCTCACAAAAAGCTGTCGTTGGTAAGAGCAGCGGTCGGCTGCTCAGCTGGCTCCTGACAAAGAGAGCTCTTCTTGCAGGGTGGAAGCTTGCATCTCTTTTCACGTGAGTCATAATCGAAACGATCGACATTAAAATGGTGTACCCAAACCAATGAAACGAAATCGCAAGGCGGCCGAACCTGTTTTTGGTTAGGATTGTCCCTTGCTACCCTCCAATTACTCACGTTTTCATTGCGGCTCGGGTGATGTTTGTGGTGCAAGTGAAAAGAGCCCATCTTGCAAACCGATCTCGTTGAGAAGAGCTGGTGTGAGCGCAGAAGGTGCACGTGTTTGCCTGTGTCGAACACTGTGTTTCTTGGTCGACGCACCGTGTATCAAACTGCAATAGGAACTGTCCAGATCGCACGGGACACTCGCGTAGAAATCGGAAAGATTGCCGGCACATATTGCTGCCAGGCACGTGAAGCTTGCAATTTGGAAAAAGCCCGCTTCACACTTTAACCTTAAAGCGGGTGTTCCCTTTCCCAGTGAAGAAATGTTTCAACACCTTCCCAAACACAAACAGAACTTGGAATCTGTCCTGATAGGGGAAAAACGCATGCATGCATGTGATCTGCTCATGCCTCTGTCTCAACGGTTCAGGTTGCCAGCAATAACCAATGCACACCCAAGTTCCTATTACCGAATCCTGCACGAGCAGTGGTACACGCGGACAATTCCACTTTGGGATGCCAATCTCCAAACACGCTTTCTTAGCCGAATTAAATCAATTCGAGCTGGTAGAGACATGTGGCTGTGGCTCAAAAATATGTGCCAAAATCGATATACCTTGCTAAGTGGAACTAAAACCTGCATAACCCTAGCTCCTTAATGTTGGGCGACACCCACGTCCGCAATTGCAGCGACTGTAAAAATAACTCACCGGAAAGGTTGCTGGCCAGCTGCACTTGAGTGTTGCTCAAAATGGCGGACCGCTGTTGGAGTGAAAAGGGACACCAAAAAGAAGCCAACCATTTTAGGGGACCGCTGTTTTAAGGAACCACAAGTGTTTAAACGGACACCAGAAAGAAGCCAACCATTTTAGGGGACCGTTGGTTTAAGGAACAACCAGTTGCACGCTGGTTGGCTGTTGCCATTTGCAGGCAACTTCGCTCTTTCCCTTGCAAGTCCTCGACAGCCTCGGCATGGCCACAATGCACGCAGAACAGCGCGGACACCTGGGAAACAGCTATGGGCAGACAGGCGACGTCCTCTAAAACCATGCCTAGCATGTGCAGAAATATGACTTCGCGCGTAATTTGCGAACGAGTGCGCATGCCCGCAGATACAGGTGTGTATCCATATGTATATATATAATATGTATGGTCGCTCCCAGCCAGCCTTTTACTACTTTTGTGTCTGCTTCTGTTACTCTCATACTTGCATGGTGTGCCAGAACCTTTTTCAAAACCACTGTGAATGCCAGTGTGATTGAGCTTTTGCGCTGACACAATTCTGCCAGCTACATGCACTGTAAGCCAAAACCAGAGAGTGGGTTGGCACGGGCCCTGGGTTTTTGAAACCAATGAAATAACGTGATTTGTCTTACATCAGAGTTTACATGGGAGATCCTTTCCAAATATGTATTTAAGTTCGATCTAGTTGGAATCGACATGGGTTCCAATGCCAAAGGACATATTCCGTTAGAAGTCCCATCTTAAATTATAAGTTTGATCAGGAATTCCTTTCCAAAGGAGTTTCAACAATTGGTCAGAATCTAAAAAATATTTAGGACACAATTTAAGTAGAGGTTTTCCCTTGAGGTTCAAGCTTAAATGGGATTCTTCTTTGCCAAATGTGGTTTCAATGAAGGTTGACCAGATATTTCAATTAGAGTTCAAAAAAGAACCAAAGTCTTGTTGCTTCGGCCTGCCCCTTAAAAAAGAAGGAGACCGCAAAAGAAACCCAAGGAGCATGCAGTTTGAGCTCTATTAAACTAAGATAAAAGCAGCCAAAGTCAACTATGTCCTTATGCAAGGGTATTTAAAAAATATAATTTTAGCCAACATCATATTTGGAATGGTGTTCCGGAAAAAATTGGAGCTCTGGTAGACAATCTAATTGATCGGTTTCCTGACTTTTGGCGTTTGTGTTTGACAACGCCTGTGTTTTTTGTTTAAACACTTTTCCAAAACATGCACAAGACCTTGAGTTTAAAAAACAAAAAATGCAGACCCATGGGGATTTGCACAGCTCCGGATCTGGCGGCATGGGGTCTGGCATTCTAGTGTTACTTGTGGAAAACTCGAGGTTTTTCACATGTTCAGAAAATGCACACCACCTGGAGCTTTCCAAAACAAATCACAGGGCACAGCTGGATCTGGAGCTATCAGGTCTCGCATCTGTTGTCGCTCGTTGTTTGAAAACTCAAAGTGTGGTGTGGTTTTGAAAAGCGCGGGCCTCACGACAACCCTTTCTGAAACAAAGTGTGTTTCTGGATTTGAAGTTGCGCAGTGTCATATACGTATGTTAGGTATATACGCAGAATACATACATGCTACCATCCTCCAGGTTTACCTACATCGCAGATCCATGCTGTGCTAACGCCCCCCCCCCCCCACTCCCTCCGGAACGGATTGAGAAGTGTTCCACAATAGACGAGGCTCTTCAGCCTTCTCTCATTCGCGAAAGGGCGAGGTGGGCGCACTCAGCTTGCCATTTGGGTGTGGCTCAAAATGAAACAACTGGGGCTACGCAGTCGTCTTTGGTTCCATTTGCCAAGGTGCCATTTTGGTACCGGTTTTTGACCCACAGCCATTTGACGCCCTCCAAGTTCTTCAGCTTCCCGCTTGCCCATTTGGTTTCCCATCTACCCGAGCCACAAGAACAGGAACCAATCCCGAAACCAATCCGAACAACCAAGTAGGGGTTGCCTGACAGTTGGAAGGGAAAGGATGCAAAGAAATACAAAACAACATACATGTGATGCAATTGCAAGACGGCACCTTGCCCCCATCTTCCCGTAATGCAACAAACATTGCGCAAAGGTCAACACTCCATTCCAGAGCTGATACAAGCGAAGTGACGGGGTTTCTGACTCTGCTGACGTCATGCCTCATCTCATGGGTCCGCAACACAGAGCACGTTTGGTAAGACACACATCCTGAGATACCATCTGCTAGCACACGCCTATCATTGTGCCAATTCCAAGTCTGTCCAACTAGCCCTTTTGCCGAAAGGGTCGAAGCGCCAAGCCACTCCTTTGCCACCATTCAAGTCTCATCTCGTCCTTGCAAGAGCTTATCCAAACAGTGCTAAGACCGAGCCTCTACCATTGCGCTATTGCGCGGGTGGTCCTTTTGACCCCTTGAGACCAGCTTGGCACACCAAGAGCACACATGCACCTTAAGATCTGGAATACACCATAAAGCCTCAGAAGCCTTAGAGACCATGCATGTGCGCAGTTTCAGGTAGGGATGACATGGGTGGCGTTTTTAGGGGACCCCCGAACATGGCCGGGGTTTTCTGTTGGCTTCCGTTGGAAACATTAACCAAAAGAGGGTTCCAACCACCTGCGGTTTAGTTTTGACCCACAGCCAAATGGTCCAAAACCAATGACCGCGGCAACCGAGCACAGAGCGAGGTCTCTATGTCGAGGCGCAGAGCGGTCCCTGCCACAACTCCGGCAGGGCTGTTGGGCCACCGAGGATTTTCGGCCTGGGCAGGACAGGCTCGTCTCAATTTGGGGACCATTTTCCGTTTGCTTCTGGTTTTGTTTTGAAACCAAAAAGGGGTGCCCTCAAAAGGAAAACAAACAAACCCATGCGTGTCAAAAGGAACACCACTCTTTTATTTTGACACACACACACACGCACTCTGGTCACAACTCCTGTTTGGCAAACAAAGACCTAGGTGCTGCCAAAGAGCTGGCTACACAAATATTCGCATGGAACACCCACCCGCCCGTTCCGCCCGCCAGGCCCACCCACGCACCCACCCACCCACCCCTTGTCGGGTCAAAAAGGAAACCCGTCTGTTTTCCAAACGAACAACGCGCAGCACATTGACTTCCAAAACAAGTGACCAGGGAAAATGGCTTGAGCTCAAGCCAACGGTTTTTCGGATTCATACCTTGTTTAGATGCTACCAGAGGATTACCAGCGGTTTACCAACAGTTCAACTTCATACCAGCGGTTTTGGTGGGTTCAAATCTTTGCGTGGCTCAAAAATAGGGTAACCCTAAAATGGGTTGCCCTGGCAAATGGACAACTAGACTATATCAATGTCCAGACCGTGATTCACCATACGGTATGAACCCTGGCTTGGGGATTTGAACCACCTTTTCTAGTGGGTAAATGGGAAACCGCCCCTGTACTACCCCCTTAAACATCAAACCAAACCACCAAACCGACCCAAACAAACCAACCCAAATCAACCAAAGCACCAAATCCAACCACCAAATCCTGAACCACCCATCAAACCAAGCCACAACCCCACTCCCCCAGCCACTTGGGAGGGAATCGCCGCCGCTCCCCGCGCAAAGCCGCTGGGCCGCCGCGCGGAGGCCCAGCGAGGCGGCGCGGGCGCCGCAGGCGAGGCACAGCGCCGCGTCGCTGGCCTGTGGAAAGCGAGCGTGAGGGGAAGGGGTTGAAGGGGTGGGGGGTGGTGGGGGGGTGGTGGGGGGGGGTGGGGGGGAGGGGTTGGAGGGTGGGGGGTGGTGGGGGG